GTGGAGACAAATATTTTACCTTATCTTATCTATTTTGCATTACATTTTTTAATATCAACTATTTCTTTGTTTGCATCGATTTCTCATTATATTATCAATCATAGATTTTATAACAAAATTATACAGTGAAGTGTATGCACTTTATATTTAATGACCTAATAGTTTATTAGAGACTGATTTTCAAGATTTACATTAGTTAGTCATGACACCAGTTTTAAATGGAAACAGTATCAGCATAATGTAGCATAGCTTGTTCGAAATCTAGTTCCGTCATGAATTAGAGGTTATGTTGCATTTTAATTTGTTAGAAAGGTTCAAGAATCTAACAGGATACAGTGTGGAAAAAAGGGGACGTTCAACAGAAACTTATTTCATCAGAACAAATATCTAAAACTTTCATCGAACAATTTCTTGCATCACCTTTTTTTTGGTTTATGCTGATTTTTCATTCACAGTCCATTTTTTGTGGACTGTACCATTTTTCGCGGAGTTGACTGGTTTTCTTATTTAAAAGCGGAATTTCGTATTCAAAAGTACCTTATCCTGCGGTTGAATTGGTTTACAGAAATGGATTTCGGTTGGTTTCACTGTCTGCGATTCTAGTTTTGCATGCGAACCGTATTAACGATGCATAAAAAGATAGTTTGAACTGTTAAAAATTCGGTTGTAGATCGAATTTTACATTTTAGCGGTGAAAATGTTGGTAAAAATATTATTTAAAGGGAGAAGAAATTGAGAAAAGACTTATTCCGTGGAGACAAATATTTTACCTTATCTTATCTATTTTGCATTACATTTTTTAATATCAACTATTTCTTTGTTTGCATCGATTTCTCATTATATTATCAATCATAGATTTTATAACAAAATTATACAGTGAAGTATGCACTTTATATTTAATGATCTCATAGTGTATTAGAGATTGATTTTCGACATTTACATTACTCATGATTTCAGTTTTGGATGAGAAGGGTATCAGTATAATGTAGTATAGTTCGTTCCAAATTTAGTTGCATCATAAATTGGAGATTATATTGCAATAGCATTATATTGCATGTAACAATATGTAACAATATGCTCAATCTGGTTCATTGTGGATATAGCATAGCTTGTTCAAAATCTAGTTCCATCATGAACTAGAGGTTATGTTACTTTTTAATTTGTTATGAAGATTCAAGAATCTAATAAAATACAGTTTGAAAAAAAGAAGACATTCGACAGAGACTTATTTCATGAGTTCAAATATCTCAAACTTTCATCGAACAATTTCTTGTATCAACTTTTCCTTGTTTGTACGGATATTTTATTATGAACATAGCATTACGCTGAAAAAATGATACGTATAGTTTGTGTTAGAAATAGTTTTCCAAGATTTACATTGCTTGTGAGCTCAGTTTTGCACACAAGCGCTATCGTCACGGTGAAAAGTAGTATTTAGAATTAAAAAGTTAGTTACAGTTTGAAATAAAGGTTATGTTACGCGTTAATTGTTACAAAGATTTCTTAACGTAACGAAGTAACGTATAGAAGAAGAATTGTTTACCAACGAAAGGTCAAATAGCGAAACTATTTATTCCATCTTAGACTATTAACATTTGTATATATATATATTATTTTAATATTCATATTTTTATTATAACATGTTTATACATTTATTAACACCAAAACGATTAGACAGGTGAATTCTGTCTTTGTTACTAATTTCTCTTCTACAGTTACCGAATTTACAAAAATGCTCCTATGAACAATTTTATTTACTAAACTTCTTTGTGTTCAAGCATATATATTATAATTAAAATTTTCCAAAGTCTAGCTAAATCTAATCTTATCATTATTATAACATTCGTTGGTAACGTTTAAAGCTTGGCAGTTCTAGAATTAAAGTTCAAAGAAATCGCTAAGTTGTACTCCTTGAGTACCAATCACCCGCGTTCAAATAATTTCAACCGAGTTCTTTTGACGCGTAATTTAAACGATCTGTTCGCGAACTCGTATCGAAACTGCGGACTCAAATTCGCCCATACGTGTTCTCATATATATCCATGATTTCGTGACACGATTAAAGATTCACCGAGCAGTGTTTTTAAATGCTTCAAACAGTGCTTAACAGTGCAATTAAGTGTTCCTCGGCTCGCCCGAGGCCGCTAATATCGGAACCGAAAGCGAACGAATTTGAGAAGAGTCGGTCGGACGCGTCTGAAACGGAAATAAACGAACCGGGCAAATTAAAAGCCCCGTTACCCCCCTCCGGCTCGGATAATATCTCAAAGTTCGCCGGCTGCATTACGGCGGGATCAAAGAGACCGTTACGAAGTCGATCTTCCAGTGGAATAATTAAAAAAGATCCGTTTCCACCTCGGTGATAAGGTGACTACGCTTCCACAAACGCATTCCAATTCTCCCCAAATTTCGAACAGAAATTCATTTGGAACAGAAACGATATTTACCAAAAGTATTCGCAGTAAACAACGTTCGCAAGCCTTGTGTAGATCATCGGTGAAATAGATTGCTGATAAAGCCGCTAAAACATAATCTGTTTCACGAAATTTCTGATCTCAACTTTCGAGTTACCAGGAATTCTTCTTGCGAATGTTGCTCTTATGAACAATGGTGTTATCTCGAGAATTTCAGCGAAGTAACGCGAAGAAAGTTGTTTGCATTTGCGTGTGTCAATTAACGTCGTCAATACGTGCCATTTCGCCCAACGGCCAGTTACTTGGTCGCTGAACAAAACACTTCCTCGGGTATAGTGGAGCAGCCGTGTACGTGCGAAACAACGATACGCGAAACTCGAAGGGCCGGAATATCCCTATTCGTGTCCCTTTCGCTGTAAACACTAGTTCGAAACTTCCGTTTCGAACCACTTCATAGATCGGCAGATATACTGACGTGTAGCGTCAACCAATTACGAACTTCGACGCCAATACCGATTTCTGTTTCATATTCCCCAGCTCTGATATCTTCCTTGCGTTGTAATAGTTTTGGCTCGCCCCTTAACTCTTTAGGGCACAGGATTTCAGAAAATAAAGTAGACCCACACAGAAATTTTATTGCGTTTTAAATTAAACAAAATTGGTATATTTTTATTGACAAAGGAATCACATAATATAAAAGCATAAAAAAATAATAATAATTCAATTCAATTTGTTGTTACAGGGTGGGACTTAAATAGTCCCACCGTGCCACATAGGTGTTATATATAAATGCAAAAAGATGGGACATTTTGAATCCCACCAGAGTTAACAAAGGTTAGGTTTCCCTTTGACACTGGAACTACGAAGGGTGGTCAAAACGACTCGTTTGGCATTTCTTATAATCTTTACTAATTCTCAGTAGAATTTGTTTTTTAAAATTTCGTATATAGTTATGTGATGTATTTCTCTTCTTTCTCGTTTTTTTGTGGTAAAATTGTACACAATAGGGTAGATGTTCCAATTTCCGCCCCCCCCCCCTATTAAAAACGTATAGAAAAAGAAAAGTTCTTTATACATAAATTGATACCTTTCCTTGAATCTTACATGTTGATAGATAAACATAATAAAAAAATATAAATCATCAATTTACATATGTATAAATCTTTTCTTTTTCTGTACGTTTTTAATCCGAGGGCACGAAAATTGGGGCGTTCAAGTCCCTGTAGGGTCCGTGTCCCCTATTTGCTAAGAGGTCCTATGCTAAAGATTCCTAACCTTAAACATCGGAAAATCAGTAACCTAAGATATGAGGAGGAGGGAGGCAGTAAATGATAAGCACAGCAGAAAAGGGTAAAAAATGAAAAGAATTAAGAAACAAATGGAATCGGAGGTCGGAGAATGAATGAAAGAGTGTGAATGAGAGAAGAGGGGATTTCCCACTCTGCATTTCGCATTAGAGAAAACGACGGAATGGAGAGCGAATGGAAAGATGTAGAGAAGGGAGAAAGAGGCGGAATAAATGTAAAAGGTGGGAAGTAAAGGAATGCAGGACGGGAGGGAAGATGCAGTAAAAGAGGCGAAGCAGGAGTGTAGAGAAACAAGGAAAAAGGGAAAAGGAGGAGAGATAGAGTGAGAGAAAGAGTGAACAGGAGAAGAGTTGCATTAGTTGTAGGAGTTCGTTTTTAAGCGTTAATTGTAAACGATTGATTTAAGTGATAGTATTAAGCGGTAATTTTTATTTTTATTTTTATTTTTATTTTTATTAATTGTAATTTTAATTTTGAAAAGCGGGAGTGTCGTGGAACCCGTAAGGGATCATTAATAAGTAACATGCGAGTTTAGGTCGACGAACATTTTGGAGAGAACAGAATATGTTTATTTATTTATTTGTAACGACGATAAGTCAGAGATTGATTTTCGAACGTATAAAATTTGGAGATTTTCGACGATTTTTATTAGTTCTGAAATCTTAGAGATTCGAATGATTTAGGCAATTTTCGTTGATTCGAAACTTCGTGATTTAAACATTACGGACAATTTAATTGGTTCGAAACTCCTGAAAGTTTAAACAATTTAGGCAGTTTCTATTCGTTCCAAGCTTTTCAAGATTTAAACAATGTATCGAAATGGAATGTCGATAGCACCAACATTATTGAAAGGAAAAATCAAAATTATTGCCACGAAAGCACAGAAAGAATAAACAAAATAATAGAAGTAGTAGAATCGTTTCAATTGATTATTTGTATTGCATATATTTATATATTTTTATAATATATATTTCAATCAATTACTACGAAAGTGGTTTATGGTTGAACTTTTGAGAAATTTTCAGTTCTTTAAGTAATTTTCAGTTCGATCCATGTCTTTAACTTTTAACACTGAGATTTTATTTCAAAAAAGAAGAACAGTCATTTAAAAACTGTAGATAACATAAAATTTCTCTAAAAAAAAAGCCATAATACAAAAACGTGCCGCAAGGCTCGAACAACCGTACCACCTCTTCCCAAACTGTCCATTCTTGTGCACAATCTGAGCGTGAATTATAAAGAATTTGCTACCTAAGATACGAATAACCAGCAGACTCACCGCGGCTGAACTGTTCGTTGTTGGCGATCACTTTCTCCGCGTTCTTCCTGGCGATATAAAACCACTCGCTGGTGTTGCTGAGGTACTTGTACTCGATAGCGAGGTCCTTGACGAGTATGCCATCCTGGTCCTGCAGCCGGTGGGCGAATGGGCAGAACAGCCAGCGTTCCTTGTACTGCAGCTTGTCGTAGCAATTCCCAGCGGCGAATATGTCCTCGTCGAACTCCACCATGGAGAGTATGCTAGCGTGCAGCAGGTACTCGGAGGACAACATCACCTCGGGGGCGTACTTCCACAGCCTGGTCAGCATGTTGGCCCTGTTCACGGCGAGGTTAGCTTCCATCCTGAACTTCTCCTGGGCGTACTGATCCACGACGCCCTCGCCCAGGTTCAGGTCGGTCCCAGCGGTGCAGTTCTCGCCCAGCAGATGCTGGTTCTCGATGATCCTGAGGAACCTGGTCACGATGTCCACGTGGACGCCTTCCTTATTGGACTTGGCCTGCTCCACGATCTTCTTGCCGTAGTCCTCGTACTCCTCGTGCTCGGAGCTGTTCCTGCCGTCCTCGTTGTCGCTGTACACGTCGTAGTCCTCGAGGATCGTTCTCTCCGCGTCGTCCAGGTCGCCGCTACCGTCTATCTGGGTCCCGTGGACGACGTGCCCGAAGACGTCGTCGGTCGTGTTCCCCGCGGTTCTGTTCCCGAACATCATCGTGGCCCTGTTCCTCGCGGTGGCCTTCCGCAGCTTGTTCATAGAACTGTTCCTGTGACGCACCGACGTCGAGTTCTTCGGCCTGCCCTCCTTCTTGCGCTCCGACAGCCTCGTGATCAGCTTGTCTATGTCCACGGTGGACCGTTCGTCGATGGACCCCGGGAACTCGTCGGGACTTCTACCCCTGGTCTGCGACGAGTTGCCGATCGCCTGGACCCTCTTCCCGCCGGCGTAGGCCAGGTCAGGCTCCTCGAGCTTCGCCTGCCTAGCGAAGTGGTTCCTGGAGCGACTGTGCCTGATCTGGGTGGCGGGCTTCTCGATGTTGGTCTCCGGCTTGGGCCAGCTCCTCGCCGGGTCCTCTCCGCCCGTGAACCCTTGGTCCAGGTACTCCAGCTCGTCGTCCAGATGGCTCGGAGGCTCGGTGTCCTCGCGGACCTCCAGTTTCCGCTCGATGAACGACGGCCGATGGTTCTGCTGGTGGCGCAGCAGCTCCTTCGGTTGCTCGATCTGCGCCTCCTGGCCCTCGTACCTGGCGGCAACGGGTCCGCGCCAGCACGTCGCCAGCACCAGCACGTACCAGCCAACCGGCACCCTCATCTTGGCGGCGTGTTCAAGCCCGCGACCGGCTGCAGCAACCTAGCGGATACCCCTCCCGCGGTCACGTCATGGTTCCGCGCACCGACTTCTCACCATTTCCGGCACACGGGCGTGTTAGATCACTGCGATCCCGGCGTCACCAACCCGTCACATCGTTGACACTCGGGGTTAAATACACTCTCGGACGACGGGAGGCCGGCTGACAACGCGAACCACACTTTGGTGAACGAAGGGGACCCGGTCAGAATGTTCATCGCCGATGTCGAAACGATTGGGCCAGGAAACGATCGAGTCTCGGGTCGAACGAAGGGGTGGGGGGCCAGGTTCGGCTACAGGTGGTGGTGCAGGCTAGCTTCAGGTCGGGTCATCGGATTTCGAATGACGGGACATCGTCGCGCGGATCATCGTTCCCGACGGTCCTGTGTTGCCTCGAAACGTGGTCCCCGAGGAAGAGCGTCGTGCCCGACTCGCGGTCTCGCACGCGGCGCCAGACTGAGGGTTGAAACAACCCCTTGTGCCGACCAAGGAGCGAAGCGCACCGCGCATGCACACCCTCGCCCGGTCTCGCCGACTGATTTTATTAGAATCAACCGGGCCGCCGTGTTTTCCGCGGGAGCGTCGAGTGGCGACGCGTGCCGGACCCTACGACTCGATGGATCCGTTAGACGATGATGGACGCTGTCTAGATTGTCTCGACGGACGCTCGAGAGCACCGAAGGCTGATGGAGATACTCCTACCTCCGGGCTGTCGATTCTGCCAGCGGGAGCTGTCCGGCTAAACGATGACGCGGTCTTTGGGTATTTCGTACTTGTTACCGAAGTGGATGCTGCGTTCATGGAAGACGTTCTATTTTGTTCAGAATTCTGTTACAGTACAGAGATGCGCTGATTTTCCTGTATATTTACGGGCACCTTTTAACCAGTTAGCTGTGTTTGACGAGTATACTCGACATGGAGAAGTGGTAGTATTTTGTGTCACGACGAGTATACTCGTCATGGAAAAGTGGCAGTATTTTGTGTCACGACGAGTATACTCATTATGGAGGAGTGACAATGTTTCGTGTCATGACGAGTATACTCGTCATAGAGGAGTGATAATATTTTGTGTCATGATGAATATATTCGTCATGGAGGAGTGGCGATATTTTATATCATGACGAGTATACTCATTATGGAGGAGTGGCAATATTTCGTGTCATGACGAGTATACTCGTCATAGAGGAGTGGCAATATTTTGTGTCATGATGAGTATATTCGTCATGGAGGAGTGGCAGTATTTTGTGTCACGACGAGTATACTCATTATGGAGGAGTGGCAATATTTCGTGTCATGACGAGTATACTCGTCATAGAGGAGTGGCAATATTTTGTGTCATGATGAGTATATTCGTCATGGAGGAGTGGCGATATTTTGTATCATGACGAGTATACTCATTATGGAGGAGTGGCAATATTTCGTGTCATGACGAGTATACTCGTCATAGAGGAGTGATAATATTTTGTGTCATGATGAGTATATTCGTCATGGAGGAGTGGCAGTATTTTGTGTCACGACGAGTATACTCATTATGGAGGAGTGGCAATATTTCGTGTCATGACGAGTATACTCGTCATAGAGGAGTGGAAATATTTTGTGTCATGACGAGTATATTCGTCATGGAGGAGTGGCAATATTTTATATCATGATGAGTATACTCGTCATGGAGGAGTGACAGCACTGACCACTGACAGCACTGAGACGGGCCAGCCAACGAGCGCACGAAGCCCAGTTCCGTTCATTGGCTCGGCCGTCTCGCGTCAGCTGATCTCGCCTCTCATTGGTCAGTGATTTTTGTTAATAGCTCGTAAACAAAGCCGCGGATTGCATTTTCGCTAAAGAAAAAGTTACTTTAAATGACCTCAGGAATCATCCCTTTCCGGGTGTTAACATAATTATGGGACACCCTGTGTGCGTAAGATATACAAGCATCCATTAAGAAGAAACGTCAGTGAAATTAAAATCGAAAAGGTGTGACCTTGAGAATATTTCTCTTTTTACCATGTCACTAGCATCTTCGAACCGAACAATGTTTCCCTTCGATATTTGTTCGTATTATCGAGAGCAATGAAAATTCTCAAGATCATTCAAGGTCACCGGTAATTTTTTCAGTGAAACTCTAATGGTTAGATTACAACATTTCAGATAATTTTACGGTTACTGAAGTACTCGATATTACGTGAACATTATAATGCACGTCACGAATTATACAAACTTGCAATTAGCTGGTGCTGGTAATAATATCCATCAACGACAATGTACTAATTAATAAAAACGTCCCACGGTTCTGTTAAACAAGAAAATAAACTGATTACTACAAATTGAAATTAATTAAGTAAGTGCTGAATGAGAACGAACTGTATAACATTTATTTGTAATAAAATACCGTCAAATTTCGCTTCAATTTTTCAAGTACAGTAAATTCTCCTTAATTAGCGCTTAGATTATGCACAAAAATGGACAATTTTGGAAGGGGATATACGATTATTCGAGCCTTGCGGCTTGTTTTTATAGTTATTTACAATCGGTAATTATAAAAATGAAACGCAAGGCTTGAATAATTATATCACCTTTTCCGAAATTGTCCATTTTTGTGTACAATCTGAGCGTCAATTGGGGAGAATTTACTGTACACTGCTATTTAAAAATTATTTCATTGCGGTTGGGTTATTTTAGGGCATTTGTCTTTCGTTTGTTATAATTGTTTGCTTTTCCACCAGCGAAGAATATTTTCATTCAATCATTATCTAAAACACAGTTATAAGTATGCAAGATTTAGCTAAATATATTTAATGTCAATTGGTGTACGATCTTTTACGTAATGATATTTGAGCAATGTTTTTATGGTGCCCCTTATAACAATCATAGAATATAGTATCATCATATATAATAATTTTACAATTAATCACAGATTAAATAATATTCTAGTTATGTGTAGTAATAATATATATTCGTCTACAGTTGCATATACTAATATACATATAGTTATATATACAGTTGCATATAATAATACATATTTATACACGATAATCTGTTTAAATCGATCCAGTCGAGTACGTTCGAAATCAAAATGGTATCTTCGATAACAAAAAAAAATATTTCAAACAAAATTTGATTGATTTTAGGGGACACATGATATGATATTAATAAGATTTTTCTAGATGAATACGTCGAGGACATATGAAGACTCAACTGTATTTTTTTAGATGGAATCATATAATTTTTATTATGCTAGTCGATTCAGCCGGCGTTCTCTTCGTAAAGATATTAAGGCATTTATTGTGAAAAATCATTGATTCAGTAGATATTTAAATTTTAATATCTTTTGGAGACGAGAGTAAAACTTTGCACTCAAGCTGAAGATCGTATTTTTGAACACCAACTTTAGATAGGCGTGTGCTAACGCGATGCAAACTTTATTATAAAAAATCACTCCCATTTTGAAAAAAGGAAATTAACCTGAAAATGTTGAGAACTATACATTGTAACGATTATAACTCGTATGATAATAAATAAAGGTACAATCGTTAATGATTAATCACATTACTTTTTGCCAAATTACTAATTATTCTAAATTAGTTATAATAATTAATCAGATATAAT